TGAATAGTTTTTACTTACCTTCACCTTCATATCGCTGTGTTTGAAATATTTTCTTCTGACGCGGAATTCTAGTCCCACTCGTGCCACCTCTAAGCCATCGCGTCCGACAATGACAGGATCGTATTGCCGCAGAAATGTTCGGTTCACATGTATGCCATTAATTAACCAACTAAGATGACACGCTGGCTTTGATGGCCCCGATGTGCAGTTCATACGGACAGTGTCTTCACTACTGTATCGTGGCCGACCACCGGTTAGTATCGGTCCATGCTTTGGTGTAACTATAAAGAGAGGAACAGACAAGGGTAGACCAAGAATAAATACGGCATTAGCTAAAATATCTATGCCCGTATGCATTAATCATCTAGAAATTCCTAATTACACATTTATACGGCGAATCCTTATGAAATGTATTAAAAAGTGTTGGTTTTCTTTGAGATGGCCTCCGATTTCGCTCAAACTTTGCACACAGCCTTAATTCGTACTAAAACTGACAGAAATGTACTTAAAAATAAAAATTAAACGCCTGTGAAATATCGATAAAATAATCACGTTGGGTTAACCAAATTTCTTATAAGTTCCCTATTTCTAGATCTTATTACGGTGATTGGAAAGTTAATGAATCGAGTTATCTATCTGCCTTAACGTCTTAATAATTTTTTATATAAAATGTCTTTTGAAATGACGGGATCTTTAATATTTAAAATTACGATCCATATTCTAAAATTTATTTTTACCAAACCATATTCAACAAAAAAGACTAAAAGAAATTCCTTTCCGATAACGTCTTCCGTAATTTTCAATTGGGCGATACGCTCCATTGCTTTACATTTTAGACACAACTGATGAAATATCTCACGGCCCACAGTGGCGCAGTGCCCTAAATTTTTATTTCTTTCTACATATAACATTTATGAACATATTTCATGAAAAATACGAAAAATATACCTGAATGAAACGAAGGAGATACTGAAGGCGAGTCAATCAAAGACATAATTAGTTCGTTTTTTACCCTAATAGAAGTGGATTCAGTCCGCGGACCGCAGTCTCGACCGCCTTGATTTAAATCATTGTGATTACAATTTTGAGGTGTTACTTTGAGTATCTTTCGTACTCTCTATGAGTATACAGGGTGTCCCAGAAGTAACCTGCCAAACTTTAGGGGAAGGTAGGTGGGGGGAGAGCACCCTGATAAACAAAAAATTTTCAGGTAAAAGTAACATAAAATAATATCAGGAGTAGGTAATAATGTACCTTTGTACTATTTAGCATGTCATTGGTTGGTAACAAGAGCAACTTAAATTTTAATCTATTAAATACATTCTAGCGTGTCTCAGTCCTTTGCCCACAAAAGCGGCTATAACTTTTTTTTATATTCGAAATAGTAAGAGTGCCACCTTTCTAAAATCCTTATGAAATGAGCAATTTTTTTATGTATTGTAAAGTTATAGCTTAGTACGTTTTTTCCCCCCAGAGATAGTCAAAGTTGGGGAAGAAAATATCAAAAAGTTAAAAATCCCAAAATAGTACTAATTTTATGATGGTTCCTTACACATTTACCCAAAAGATTTTTGTTTATCAGGGAGTTCACCCCCCCACCTACCTTCCCCTCAATATCTTGTACATAAGGCCCTGTACTGCTCCGACTTTCTGCACGATCCGCACATGACCTGGGCGATAAATTCGTTCGAAAACTTCAGGTCTTCAAGGGTCTGGAGGTTTCGTGCAAATGGTTGGCTTCTTTTTATGCCAACTGCGTGAGGGCCGGGTACATACACAAGGCTTGGAGAGTAGTCAGTGTTGCGTTCACCTCCAAGGCCGGAAAAGGCTCTCTTGTTTCCCCTAGGGATTTTACGCCCATAAGTCTGTCTTCGTTTGTGCTAAAAATAACAAATAAAATGAAAATAAAGCAAAAATAAATAAAAGTATTTTAAACAAGTAAAGAAGTATAAGTTCGGGCCAAACCAAATTTTATATACCCGGCGCAATTATCAACTATTGTCGTTCCAACTTTCTTTAAACAATCTAAAAGACTATAATAGTCTTATTTATTGTTAAGAGAATTGAGAATTCGGAAACGCAGAAAACCAAAGCATCAGTCTCTTTTATTTCTAAACTATAATTGATGGATAATTGGAGTGCAATGGGGTATAGTCGTTGCGCTGGGTATGCAGTTACAGTTGCATGGCTATACTCAATCCCGACTCTTGCGTCCTCGTTCGCGCACTCTGGGCAACGTGAGCAACCCATGTGCGAGATGCGGTAACCAATCCGAGTGGAGCCTTGGGTCACGGCAGAAAGAGAGGGAGCTTCGGTGGGGCCACTCTGACTTATTCGGTTTAAGGGCTCACTGAAGTCTGCAGCGTCTGTTCACCAGTAGGTGCGGCTGCAAGCGGGTGTCTGCTTGGAGCAAGCGGCTCGCTATATAAACGTGTATTTGGTTGCGAAACCACCCC